TTAGATGTGTTTCCTTAAATATCTCAACGTCTTAAAATATACTCAAAATACCAAGCTCTGCAATTAAATGTCAGAGATCTCAGAAATCAAAAAATGCCTTGTCAATTCTTTCCAAACCAAATTATCTGAGCTAAAACACTTGTATTTTATAACAACAATGGTCTGATTTATTTATTTTTACCAAGGGAAATTAACCCCTTAACTGTCACTCACATTTTTGAACATAGACGTGAAAGTGCACAATCCAAACTTAAATTGTTATAATTCATGAACGAAAATATTTTCTAACATGATATTGATGTAACATTTTCATGGTAATGCAATGTTTGATTTTAAAATGGGTTTCAAAGGATGAATTTTGAGATTTAAAGTTTTCAATTGATATATAATTTCCGATGATTTCTAAAGTGTGAGAGAAAAAGGCAATGAAAAAGACTTTTTTTGACAAAGGTCAGAACAAGTTTCAGAAGAAAAGGTTTCATAAAACAAGTTTACCAAATAAGCCAGGCTTATTTCAGTTAGTCTGACTTATTTTGAACCAAATCAACTGACAATAAGTCAGACTAACGGAAATAAACCTGACTTATTTGGTAAACTTGTTTTATGAAACAGCCCCCTGGGGTGTATTCCAGAAAGGAGGTTCAACAAACTCTGAGTTAAAACTTGAACTCTGAGTTGACTTACCCTGAGATGGGAAACTCTGAGTTTTCGGTTTCAGAACAGCTGAATTGTGTTAGTTCAATCCACTATGAGTATGTTGACTCTGAGTTTAGCGCGTGCATCACAACTATGAAAAGCCATGATCAATGGTGCTCCGAAATTATGATTCACCATGGCAACAGCACCCGACAAAAAGACTTCCGCATACTACGCAATACGTAACTAATTCGTAATCACTGTTATAATATCAGAGGTGAAAACTGGCAGAACGGTAAGTTATTGAACTAGTCTTCATTTTCATGGTAGGCTATCCCACGGGCCAAAAAAACAAAACATAATTCAGTCAGGTAAAGCTTCAAGTGTGAAAGGTACATGGGTGTAGACATACCTTTACAAATATTTGACATATTCAATAAATATCATTCAGTGTCTATTTCAATGTGCAGTGGCTTTTTCCACATAGTCTAATGCTCTTTTCACATAATTAAATGTTCTCTAATCCAACATGCATTTTTTAATTAGTGTAATGACTGACTTCTACTCAGATGAAGAGGAGATGGCCACAATATCAATATTAAAATCCAACAGGGAAAATAATAATTGTTGCTTTTGTATTTGTAGGAAATAAAGATGCCCAAATAAATTGTGAATAATTTGTTTATTTAACAGCTGTGGTGGTGGTTATGGCATATATCTCACACTACCCTTCCATCTGGCATCCTTCCATTCCATACAGTAACCGGTTTCATTTTCAGAAGTCGCGATGATAGGAATATGCGTGTCATCAATACATCCAACCACACTGGAAATCCTAAAGGAAATTCTAATAATTAGGTTACTTCCAGAGATCACAGCAAGATGTTATCAAGTGAACGTCATCTAAAAGTGGTACCGCTCAAATAAATATGCATGTGGATATGGCAAAATAAAATAAAGTAAAATAAATTCCTCTCCTGATGTAAATGTAACTCTCCACGGATTAATGCAGCCTCCTCATCTACAGTATCCCGTGTAAAAAGACATGCCATTTTGTCACATTGCATGATGAAAATGAAAGTGGTGCGGTGAGAAAAACAATCTTGTTTCCATTTGCATTAAGATAATTTTTCTTTCCCCACTGGCAGATAATTTTACTTGTTTCCCCTAGGAAGCAAGACTAAACATTGTTTTTTTTTTTTTTTTTTTTACATAGAAAATGCATCTTGATTTAAGAATTTTTAGATATTTGTACTTGAAATAAGGCAAACATCTCAGCAATAAAAGCATTTTTGCAGCATGAAAGGATGAATGAATGAGGTAATTTAAACATCGCTTACGCTTTAATAAGGGGGAGGAGACCGAAAGAAACTCTGGGTTTACCAAAGAAAACCTGCTCCTGACCAGGTTAGGTTCACAGAGTAAGTTACTATGGTAACTTACCGAGAGGTTTAGTTTTGTCTTTTATTGGAACCAAAAACCCTGAGTTTCCCTTTTCCCTTTTCTGGGGTTAACAAACTCCGAGTTTCCAACAAAACCCGCTTTCTGGAATACCCCCCGGATCATCAAAGAGCAGTGGAGTTTTGTTGCAGGCTCAAAATTAAGGTTACTGAAGTAACCTTAAAATTCAAATGATTTGCAACGGTCGCTTTGTTGCGTGACTCATCCAGTCATTGTAGACCGACTTTAGCTGGCGTGGCGCGACAACTGTAGCATCCGATGTATAGGATCGCAACGAATGACGGCACGTATGATTTGTCATGTTGCGCCACGCCGCATCCAGTGTAGACAGCATCACTGATTATTAAGGGTTCTATAGTATTTTGTTGCGCCGCACCGCTCGCGTCCGGTGTACAGTAGACATGCTGTCAAGACGCACCATCACAAGAATACACGAATTATATGAAAAGGAGATTTTAATTTGATTACATTAATGTTTAAGTTGAGATTTACAAGAAATATTTTAACTGTAATTTTAACAGTAAATATTTAATAAAACAAGAGGTAATTCAGAATATGAAAAACACCTGGGGTGTATTCCAGAAAGTGGGTTTTGTTGGAAACTCAGAGTTTGTTAACCCCAGAAAAGGGAAACGCAGTGTTTTCGGTTCCAATAAAAGACAAAACTAAACCTCTCGGTAAGTTACCATAGTAACTTACTCTGTGAAACTAACCTGGTCAGGAGCAGGTTTTCTTCGGTAAACCCAGAGTTTATTTCGGTCTCCTCCCCCTTTTTAAAGCGTAAGCAATGTTTAAATACCTCATTCATTCATTCACGCTGCAAAAATTGCTTTTATTGCTGAGATTTTTGCCTTATTTCAAGTACAAATATCTAAAAATTCTTAAATCATGATGCTTTTTCTATATAAGAAAAAATATATATGATATTTAGTCTTGTTTCCTGGGCTAAACAAGTAAAAATTTATTTGCCAGCGGGGAAAGAAAAATAATCTTAATGAAAATGGAAACAAGATTATTTTTCTCACTGGACCACTTTCATTTTCATCATGCAGACACGGTAAATGTGACAAAAATGGCATGTATTTTTATAAGGGATCCTGTAGACGAGGAGGCTGCATTAATTCGCGGGGAGTTACATCGATATGCATTGATTACACACACATTCTCACCATCGCACCTTCCGAAAATGAAGCTGATTATTGTATTGAATGGAAGGATGCCAGATGGAAAGGTAGTACAAGATATATGCCGTAACCACCACCACAGCTGTTAAATAAACACAAATTATTCACTATTTATTTGGTCATCTTTATTTCCTACAAATACTAAAGCAACAAATTATTATTTTCCCTGTTGGATTTTAATATTGGTATTGTGGCCATCTCCTCTTCATCTGTCAGTGGTGCTGGTGAAGGTTCTCCTCCCATTTTACGAGTCTCTGCCTTCTTGCTGTTGGCTTCTGAATAAAAGTCAAATGTTTTTCATTACCCTAATTAAGAAATGTAGCATGGTGG